TAAATAGGCTCTTCACCTATATTTTGCGTATCATAGTTCTTTGATTAATAGGCAAAAGGCAGTCATGAATATTACAGGCATCTGACCCTTCTTTGATATCGAAGTACCTGAAGAAATGTCGTTATCTATGTTTAAGACCAAATTAGTAAGGATAGTATCTAATATTCTTAATAGCACATCAAAGTTTGGGATTGAGACCATTAACGCTTACATACTTCAAGGATACCATACAGAAAAGAAACCATATATCCATGTGAGAACATGGAACCAATATGACTGGTACAATGCATTAAAAGCAATCTATGCTGTTGAAATGCATACAGTCTCAGATGATCTAAACTGCCAGTATTATTATCGTAAAGTAACCCGTGAAGAAAGATTGACTCTTTCAAGTTGAGCGCTATTAAGTAATTATTCATACATACTGTTAGAAAATACTTATCTCTTCCAAGTATCTGTGAACAATTACAACCCATTATGCGATGCTGAGTATAATAATTCATTATTTTCCTTGACACTTTCACGGGATCGCACCCTTATTCTCACGTGAGATATCGAGATATATAGCTCACGAAAAACAGGTGAAGTGCCTAATACAAAATACGAAGAAGACGTTGTATTCATGATTTGTATGACTGTTCATTAGAAAGATGATCCTGAATCATTAAAGCAAATCTGTCTTGTTGATGTTGAAACTGCGTCAGACTCACGATGGATCACAATTGTATATGAAAATCAAACTAATATACTAAAAGCATTTGTATTATGTTGGAGACATTTAGTTCTGGATATACAAATAGGCTTTAATGATTCACAATATGACTGAAAATTTATTGTGAAGAAAGCTAATAAAATTAGGGGTTCTCGAATGGATGTTCAATCATGTCATTCGAGCCATCAAGCCTGAAAAAAATTATAAAATAGGAATATCGATATAATATGATAAAAGTAAATGATAGAAAATTCTATTCAAAACATCTTAAAATTCCCAGCTGTATGGCTATCGATGTCTGGCCCTGTTTTATGGGATTTTATCCTAAAGCTGAAAAGAGTAGCCTAGCATATTACTTAAAGGAGTGTAAACTTGACAACAAGTAGATTTGCCTATTCATTACATAAACAAATATTATGAAAGGGTATTAAAAGAAACAAATGCTATAACGGTCGAGCAAATACGTGAAATAGTCAAATATTGTATCATTAACTCCTTTAGTTGCCAGCAGTTAATGGTAAAACATAATGCAATTAATGAGTATAGAGAGGTAACATCCATAGCTTTCTTATCATTATTTGGTGCACATTATTTTGCAGGAGGCATGAAGGTTTGCAATTTTTTAAGTGCTAGTGCATGGCAAAGGGAGTCCTAACCAGTATGATTTTAAGCCAACAAACAGAAACTGGAGCCTATGTTTTCCCATCAGTAAAAGTCTCGAAAATAGATATCCTGTAACTGGCTTAGATTTTGCATCGTTATATCTGAGTCTTATCATAACATACAACCTCTCACCTGACAAAATCATTTTATCTCAAGAGCATGCTGTATCTGTAGAACAAAGTAACAAAAAGCTTTATAAGATAGAGTTTCTATTTAATAACAACCTTCAACGTGCCTAATCAGTTCAGTATAATAATATTCCTGAAGAAAAGGGACTCTATACTAGTGTATTAGAATATTTATCAGGTAAACGAAATAAGATGAAGAAGCGTCTTGCCCTTTGAAAGAGAAAAAGGAAGACATAGACTTGGTAATAAGTTCAATGGGTAGAGGTTTGTCATTATCAGAAGCCATCGAGCAGATCTTAGCGAATGCAGAAGTAGAAAAACGTAGCGGTCTTACTAATAATTTATATCATTTTATTCATAAAGAAAAGCATGAATTTATAGCAGAATATGATTTTATTTGTTTCGATTGTTTTTGTTTGGATAAAAAACAATATACTTTCAAGGTATATATGAATACATTCTATGGTACGGCTGGAGATAGTAAATCCCCTTTCTTCTTGCGTGAACTTGCTGGAGGTGTTACATCAGCTGGGCAGAGAAATATCAAACTGGTTGCTGATTTCGTCAAGAGAAAGGGATTCAGGATAAAATATGGGAATACAGATTCCTTGTATCTAGTCTATCTAGAAGAACGCTTCCAGAAGTGTAATGAGGCTTATGGTAGTGGTAATGGGATCTCAAAAGAAGAATATTGGTCTCGAATGGTAGAGATCTCTAAGGTAGAAATAGAAAAACTTCGCGATGAAGTTAATGTCTTTCTCAAAGAAGATAACGGATCCCTTATCTCAAAATGGCATATGAGGAAGTTTTATTTCTAGTAGTATTTACTGGAAAGAAAAAATATTATGACATTTCACATGAAAGTAAGCTGAACTTTAATAAAGAGCTTTTCATTCGAGGGTTGAGATTGTAAAGCAAGGGCAGTCTAAACACTTTCGTGAGGTAGGTAAGAAGGTTATGGAAGAATCTATGAGGCTGGATAATACACGCACCCTACGTCAGATTGTGGAAGACATGCTTAAAGAGATCATAAATGATATTTCACAGATAGATCTTAATGGAGTGATTAAAACTGCTGTATGGAAGCCCAATAAAAATAACAAGAGTGTACAGCGCTTCATTTCATGAATGCGAGATAGACACACCTGTAAAGAAGCAAATGCCAAACAGCGTATAAAAAAGGGCCTAACACCTGAGCCTTATCTTTATGGAATTTCAGAACCAGGCGAGCGGTTTGAATATGTTGTAGTTAAGAATAATTCATCAGAGAGGGTGGGTGACAAAATGAAGTATCCAGAAGTGGTAAGACATCTTGGTAAGAAGATTGATGCTAATTATTATCTGAAAACTATTATTGGCCTCTGTGCGCGATTTATAAACTATGATGATAGATACCAGCCATCATCCAAAATTGTGCTGGAGGCCTTAAAAAGGTTAAAAGATGGTAATAAAGTGGGTAATAATAAAGCGGATGATGGTGGAGTGGGTGAAGATGACGTGGACGAAGAAGATAAAAATGAAATGGATGAAGATAAGGTATCAAAAATAAGAGATGCCTTAGCGTAGAAATCAGCTGAGAAGTGAATTAGGAGGTATATCAAAAGCCTACGTGATGGTCTGAAAAAAGATAAAACCATCATATCTCATTTATGGGAAGGGACACGCATTTACGCGAAAAAAATATTTGATACTATTTATGCCGACAAGGGAGAAAACCTGACTAAGAATGCTTATTACCAATCATTTCTCAATGCGCTGAATAAGCAAGAAGAATCCATCTGTTTAAAACTTTTATCATTACTTAAAGAAATTTTTGAGGTTGATATAGAGTATAGAGATAGTATGTATAAATTAGTTACTAAAAAGCGAGCAATGTCCTTAGAACAATATTTAACATCATATTATTTAAATGAGTGTAAGCTACTAGCAGATTTCTGAAACATATAGTACAAAGTGGTTGGCCTAAAAATCACATGCTACCAAACATTATCAAAATTACAGGATAGCAAAAAAGATGATTCGTCCGAAGCTGATATGGACGATATCATCGAATTATATGGATAAGTACTCTTAGCGGGATGTGGCAATTCAACTAAGAATACTTAGTCGTTAAGGCGTTTCGCATAACATTATTTACATATTTTTTTCTCGTGCAATAATACTGGCTAACTTCAATTTCTATCTTCGAACTTCTGGCCTCCGATCATACAGTCCGGTCTCGGAAATATCCAGAGACGATAAAAAATAGTTCTGGTTAGAAGAATATTCAGTATTATTTTTTTTTCACGAATTCTATATTTTTTTCCTAACGATTTATATAATTGCAAGAAGAAATAAAGTAAGTATGGTATATGATATCAACAATGATATTAAGGAATTTGCAACGATAGGAATAGCTGGTGTAGTTCCAGAAGGACCTGCTAGAGGTATTACATGGGCTGATGGTACCACTTCTGCGCTACCTGATTGCTTTACAACCCCTTCCCTTGAAATAAACTTTTTGAAATGTGCTGGTTGACTATGAACAGATTGATTAGGTAGGGTATCTGTTTGGCTTCTCGAAACCATTTCATCCTAGGATAATAGCTCTTGCAAAGCCTCTAATATATTTTCTCTGGCAAAACTTTTATCGAGTTCCATAACTTTATCTTCAAGACCACGTTCATAGACGAAAGGTCTTAAATCATCACTGAGCCAACCTGGTAGCTTTTGCGATGAATCGTTCATAGGCGGAGGTGGGGGTTAGAGAGATCTACTATTTTATTATCTTTTTTTGAGATTATCTCTCAGAGACGAAAATTTTCCTCCATTAAATTTAATCGTGCTGAAGACAAAGCATCTATTTTCCGACTGGTTATCTCATATGTCGCTTCTATCCCTTTTTTCATACATTCTATTTCATGTTTTTTTGAATTAAGGTTCTCATTCGTTCGCTCTAATTCAAGCTTGAGAGAATCATGTAATGCTTGCTCTAGTCCTAAGTCATCCAACTTACCTTCTAATTCAACTACCTTAGCTTCAAGAAAAAGAATCTTAACCTTATCAACAGACGAAGTTTTCTGGGCCAAAGTTGCCTTTCTCTTCAGTGTTTTAATCAAAGATTTGAGCGATTTGACTCCAGCTTCAAGCTCAATACGGGATGTCCATTCAGAAGTAATTTGGGATCTAAGCTTAGTACAGGATTCATTTAACTGGCTAGTTTTATTTACAATATCAGCATAAGATAGTTGAAATTCCTCCTCTCGCTCTGAACACTTAGCTAGCAACTTCTCGCTAAGATCATTAATTTCAGCTTTGGATCTAAGAGTAGAATATAATTTTTCTTTAAGTTTTTGCTCATATGCATCACTAAGTCGTTGACCGGCCCCCTAAAGGAACCATCACCTTTATTATTGATATCTTTTAAGGTATACACATTGGTCATAGCCTTTTTTTCAGCTTAGTTGCTAGTACAGTAAAAATTAAAATAATCAAATATAACCAATACTGATAAAAAGAACTATGCATAGATATCTAAGATCTGATGTAACTCCTCTTTCACCTGAAGCATACTGTGATATTATATATGCTAAAGGTAAAAAGAATATATTATCAGTTTTAGCTAAAAAATATAAAATATCATCACAGAGGGTATATCAAATCTGGCGAGGACAGGAGTATTCTCCTGATGTTAGCTTAACTAACTAAAATAATGATTAGGATAAAGAAATTGAACGCATATATAATTTATATGCCGAACTTCCTAGTGAATGAATGGATGAATTTTTCGGCTAAGCCATTGTAACAATTTTCCAAGTGAAATTTATTTTTGGAAGACAGATAGTACTGATGCTTCTAATACTTCTGATACTTTACATATTACTGATACTTCACATAGATTCAATAATTTACACACATTTTTAACTAATATTATGGATAGAGCCGTAGTATGCATAGCATTGATGCTTCCGATACTCTGCATACTACACATAGTATTAATATTTTGTGTACACATTTTTTATTAATAATATAAAAATCTGATTAACTACTAATATGATCAACCCATCACCTAAAAAGTATATGCGTTCCGATGCTACAAAATTATCTTCTGCAGATTATGAAGATATTATGCAATATTGAGATATGAAGTCCAAGCCTCTAGATTAATTAAGAAAGAAATTTCATGTATCAACTTCTCGTTTATATCAGATTTGGAGAGGGTAGGAAGTAGGAAAGGTCGAATAGAACTATTCAGCAGTCCTGCTTTCTTATTCAAGTACAAATATTATAAATAAATAGGATATATCAGAGGTTTCAGTAGAATGCAATGTTATTTCTGGAAGTAAGGTAAAAAAGACCAGAGGAAAAAAAACTAAGTCTAAATCCATTCGTATCCCAGAGTTGCCTGTCATTCAGATTCCATTAACTTTAGTAAGTTTAGAAGGTTTAAATATAAATGATGAGGAGTTAAATGCATTTTATAAAAAAGAAGCTAAGAGAGACAAAAAAAATAAAGCAGAGGTGAATAGACGTCTAGCCATGTAGAAGATATTTCCCATTTAGTTTATCATAGTGTACTAATAATTTCTCACACAATTCGTTAAGATCCTTTTTAAACTTAAGAGCACTATATAACTTTTTTTCGAGCTCCTTATAACTTGTGCATTTTTTTTAATATCTTATCCCACTTAAGTCTTGCGAAATACAGTCTGGGATTAAGGAATCGTCACAGTCAGGAATAATGTTTGTGTAATTTACTTTGAGCTTATTCTTGACCTTATGCATAGTGACTGAAATAGTAAAATCCTTTCCATTATAGTGGAGCTTTAACTCATCTTTGTCCCAATCAATTGTGCATCTGTATTTCTTGAGAAGAGAATTAGAAAATATTAGCATTGGCTTAGAGTATTTCACAACCACAAAATCTTCGTAAATGATACAATCCAGAGCCAAGCTTATTGATAAATCGTGAACAATTCCAACAGACTCAATCGGAAGAGTAGCAATATCGCTAAGATCATGTTTTATAGATTTATCGATTCCATATCCTACACGCTCAACAATATCAGGTGTTATAATAGGAAGTTCAGCGCAAGAGTCCAATGCCATAGCTGGAATTTTAAGATGCTTAATCTTGCATTTTACAGTTGCAATGCTTGTAGGAGGCTCCTTCTTCTGAACGAAATCTATTTCCATAGGATTATCCAAAATATTCTCCTCATTTGAATCTTGAGCTGAGACAGGCTCACATTTTTAGCTTGCTGAATTATGTATGGGAGATAATTTACAAATTCACTCTGAATTATTTTGTGAATAGTTTCTTCTAAAGACACCCGTCTAGTACCTTGGCTATCTTTCTCTGATGAGACATTACAGGTAGATGGTGAGTTATTATCCTGCTTTACCTTATGAGGCTTAGACTCATTATTAATTTTAGAGCATGAGGACTTATCAGAATGACCACTCTGCTTAACGTAATTCACTTTTTTTTTTCATGACATATGTAAATATTCATATAACAATTTCCAAAGTCTAAACCGGCTGACGAATTATCAGAGTTATAATCGTTATCCTCAGATTTTGATATATCATCATCAGAAAAAATGAGATCAGACTGTTTATCTGCTGTAGCCATATGAACTCGAGCACTCTTAGATTTGGAATCTTTGGTAAGTTTGGTTAAAAGGGTTTTAATTCCTCTTAATCTTTTTTCGAATCCTCCAAAAGGTAAGGATTCTGAGCATTGACGCTGAAATGTTTTAGTACTTCTAGTATCTTTGCTAGCAAATTTGGTTAAGTGAGCTTTAATTTGTTCTATTCTGTTTTCCAATCCTCCATTATTATAGTCTAAGGATTCTGAATACTGATACTGAGCTGATTTGGTATCTATGGTATCTTCTCTTATGAGTTTAGTGAGTTTGGCTAAATTAATTTCGATTACTCCTAATCTTTTTTTCAGTTCTTGATTAAGATGTCTATCAAAGGTTAAAGCACTATTTGAATTAATTACATTTTCTAGTAGCTGTAAGCATTAGGCAAGATTAGAATGCACCTGCATTAATTCTGCTAACTGTGTTTCCAAAGAAGCTATTTTAGAATATAACTTTTCTATCTCAGCTGAGGCAACTCCCTGAGAACTGACTTTAGATTGGATTTAGTTATCCATAGTAACAGACTGGAGGTATATATTTGATCCAACTTAATGTTCTATCCAGTACTTCCTAAGATTAGCAAAGAAATTATCTACAGTTTGATTACTCGCACCTCTTATAGTCATATATATTTTTATATTATTATGAAGATCTGAAGGTAAATGAGTGTATAATGCTGGTAATATCTGATCATTTGCAAAACTTACTATGTGTTTTCAGACTCTAGATTCATAGATATCAAGAGAATCTGTCAAGTTAAATTTTTCTTATATCAATGACTGTAAAGCTAATTCTGCATTTCCAGCCATCACTTCTCGATATTTATGACATAGCCAAACAATAAATGTAGCAGATGTATTGATAGCAGGATTACTACCTGTATAAGGATCATTTGCTAGTACTGGGGAAAACTTATCCCCCATCATACTCTTTAAGATATCACATTTGTTCGCATCAACAAAAGTATTTGCATTAGCATTATTGACGGCCGTGATTACATTTCCGGCAGATTCAAAAACATTTATAACATGTTGAATAAAATCATCTGGTGTGCATTGCTCTTCATAAGGTTTAATTTGCTTAAGTCGTAGGGCTAATATTTGATGAATTTCATGAACCTGAGCCATATGTTGTATATTAAGCGGGTTATTTTGTAATGCTAAAATTTGTTGTTGTAAATTTAAATTATTCTGGTCTCTTTGCCTAATCACTAGCTGAAAACAAACTTTTTACGTAGCAATTCACCAATGCAAGTTTATTTTCATGCTATAATGATTAACATCCTATTTACCTGATTTTGAGCATTAGTTTGCAACTGTCAGATATTTTGCTGATACAATAGCTGTTTAGCAAATTTTTCTCGCAATAATCCTTGAACACGCCTATCTTTATCCCGATATGAAAACATCCAATGACGAGATTCTTGTCTCTCATTATTGTAGGCCAGCATAGTCAAGTCTCGCTCTCCTTGAGCATTGTTTTTTTCTCTCACAGTTTTTTCAACCTGAACTTGGAATTCATCTAATAAACGTTGTAACCGTAAATTCTGATTTCCACTATCAGTAAACTGATTCCTAAGATTATCTACT